TTCATTTTTATTTTTCTGCCTTTGACTCTATATTTTTATATAATCTGTTTCTTAGTTCGCATATTTTTTTCTTCCATTTGATTAGTTCTGTCGTTTATACAGTGCATTATTCATTTTGATCATTATATTTTTCTTTTTTAAAAAAGAATTATTTTATTTAACTTTATTTACCCATTTATTTATTTTAATTTGACCAGAGAGGAAGAGAGAAAGAGTGAGAAAGCAAGTCACCAGGTTTGGAATTTGAACCGCGGTTGGCCATGTGCAAGTCCAGCATCCTCAACCACCACACCACTCACTGGCCCCAATCATTGTATTTTTCAGCTCCAGAATTTCTATTTATTATAACTACTATTATTTTAATCTGCGTTATATTTCTTATCCTAATCACTTACTGATTTTCTCATTTCTTTGAATCATTTCTCTATATTTATTTAAGATTTGCTGAACTTCTTTAAAATAATTATTTAAAAAAAATTTTTTTTAGCCAGTTTATACATCTCCATTTCTTCAGGTTCAGTCCATGGTACTTTACTTTGTCTCTCTGATGATATTATGTTTCCTCGATTGTTCCTGATCCTGTGCCAATGACTGTGCATTTAAGAAGTAGGTACTTATTCGGTCTTCATAGGTTGGTTTAGTTAGGAGCATCCTTCAACAGAAATCCTGTCCAGAGATTCCGGGTAGATCATCTGGGGTGGTCTCTGCCCATGTCTGCTGTGGCTCTTACAATGCTGGGGCACCCTAAGCTTGGGATCACTGAAGTCAGTGTGCTGCTGGGTTGGTATAACATGACTGCTGAAGATGGTACAGTGCAGGGCATCCCTGAAGCCCTGTGACTACTGAAGCCTGCCACTGAGGTTTATCTGGTGTCCAGGAATGCTGTAGTCTGCTGATGGTGATACAAACTCTTGATTAAGTCCACTTGCAGGGGTTACAGGTTTCTGTCTAGTGTCATATAAAGTCTAGAGGTTAAGTCCATAGGTCCTTGCCTGGAGTCAGGAGCAATGGGTGTCTGCCTGGTGCTGGGTTTTACTATGGTAGGTCTGATGTTAGGCAAAGTCCTACGCCTATTTTCCTCTTCTTCCCTGAAGTGGACAGTACCTCTTTTTGTGCTCTGCCACTTAGGATTGGGGCAGGGCAACATGAATGATGTAAAACTGCCCTTTCTATCCTCTTTAATGCATCTTTTCTTATTATTATTGTACTGTTATCTCTCACCTGGTTCCCTTAGCTCTTGCGAGGGCATTTTCATGTCTAGATAGTTGTTCAATTAATGTTCCTATTGGGGTGATGACTTCTGGAGAGCCCTATTCTACCATCTTCTTTCATACAGCAATCTAAAAGGCAATTTTAAACAAAAGAGTTAAAATCTGAAAATGTATTATCTGAAATTGCATAATGGCAAATGATTCTATTTTAGTACCTGTAGCTAAGACCGATCCTGCTTTGTGACTCTGCTATACTGATGCTTCATGCAAGACGTTACATACAGAGATGTGCTTCTTAAGGTCACCACTTTGTCTGAGCAAGGCCAGGAATACTGACAGGAACAGTTGAGCCTTCAGAAGAAACTAGATCTCCTGATGAAAAATGTCACTGAAATTTTTGTTTATTCAAATGGTTCTGTTCCATCATGACTGGAAAAATTCTTTAGACAAAACATTAAATTCGAAGTCAATTTAGAAAGCCAAAACAGTCTGATTGTCTTTTTTTGTGTGTTATAATGTGGGATTTGGAATGGCTGAAGGGCTGCATGTAGTGTGTGGGTCCACAGAATTCTGAACGTGTCTACCCTGTTCTGAACGTGTCTACCCTGTGTGACAGGTGACCCCTGAAAAATCTAGAGCCTGAACAGCCATCTCCTTAAAAGGTTACTCTTAAGAAAGAACTTTAGAATAAAAATCTTGAGGAGAATAAAAGTCTTTGATGGAATAATTTTAGGAGGTATAGTAGATAGGCTTTTACTCACATAAAACACGCTAAGATGGCCCTGACATAGGAGCTTCAATGTGCTGCGGTGTGAGTGTGTGCACTCATGCCACATCAATTAACAAATGACATGATCTTTATTTTCTTAGATATTTTGGGGGCAAGGAAAGCTAAATAATGTATGTTTTAAAAATCTGTCAAAATTGAAAAAGCAATTACTGCTATTTTTGTGAAACAGAGGTAGAAATAAGGTTAAAGTATAATGTATTACATGTCTTTTAAAATGTTATTCTAGGGCCAGCAGGTGGTATGGTGGTTAAGGCACTCGACTCCCACATGGCCAACCACTGTTCAAGTCCCAGACCTGGCATCCTGCTTTCTCACCTTCCTTCTCTCTCTATTTCTCTCTAAAGATGAAAAAATAATAATAATGATCATGACTAAAATTAAATAAATAGTTCTTAAAAAATGTTATTCAACTAAATTTTAAGAAAAAACCCGAGGCAGAGTACATTAAGTACTACTAATCATTAGTAGTAGTAGTAGTGGTAACCGTAGTAGTGTGTGTGTGTGTGTGTGTGTGTGTGTGTGGGGTGTTTTAAAGAGGGTCTTACTGTGTTGTGATCCTCCTGCCTCAGTTGGCCAAGTAGATGGGATTATAAGATTTTTTTTTTGCCAACTCAGTTTTTAGGGTGCCAGAAACTGAACCTGGGTCTTAGCTTGCATGCAGCAGTATCCAGAGCATGCAATGGTGACTGGGCTTACTCTTTTTAATGAAATGCCTCATACCTTTCTGAAACACTTATCTTTTTATAGCACCATAAATATTCCAGATGGCTCTAACTTTTATTTTGAAAAGAAATTTTGGATTTATCTGATTAGATAAATACCTAGTATAGATCGATACCCTTTAAGAGCAGCTGCAGACACATCTACACTTAACTTGTAAGAAAGTTTTTCTAAATAAAAAACGGGAACACTGGAGGTGTGAACTTTTATAGTGATGTCAGCATGGCACTCTTGGTCCAGCCCTGGGCTGGCAGATGGCAAGACAGGATGAGAGGAACGCCATACTTATGGGGAGGTCTTTAAAACACATTCTTCCAGTCTGCTTGAGATCCAGTCTAGAGATTCACTGGTAGACTCGTGGAAGATCTAGATGGACAGCTTCGTAGTCTCCAAATAAAAGCTTCATCTACACTGAGATGTAAGTAGCTTGAGTAAACTGTTGCATTGAAGATCAATGTGCTGTTGGAAATGCATTGGTATTGGTTGTCTTCTGATATTGGCCATACTTGGGACACGTCAAAACTTCCATGTGGCCTTCAACAGTAAATTAGTGCAGATTGCCTTGCAGTGTTCAGACTTTCACATAACAGTATTCTGATCTGTGCTGCAGGGAAAAGTTTGGCACAGTTAGAAAAGGCAAGAATAAAAGGTCATTGTATTCCAGTATAGACCTCTTGATCTGATAGAAATGTACACAGTTTTTATTACGGGAAATAAAGTATTTGGTATTTCCAAGCCCAAGAATTCCTTTTTTAAAGAATGATTTCATTTATTTATTATTTATGATTATTATTAGTTTCATTTGACAAGAGAGAGAGAAAGGGAAAGTGAGAAAGAAAGGCACCAGGTCTGGGGGCTTGAACCATGGCTGGTCATGTGGGAGTCCAGCACCTTAACCAGCATGCCACCTGCCAGCCTCAGCCCAAGAATTCCAAATGGTACTCTCTGACATTGTGTATCTTGCAGTCTGGACTTGTATAGGAATTCCTAATTCTTCAATGGTTATACCTACTTTTGAGGAAAGCTACAGTTTTCTAGAAGGATATTTTGGTTCTCACAATAGCCCTGTTGGTGTAAGGACTGTGGATAAGAAGCTGAAGGCTAAGAGCTGGATGGACAGAATTGGTATTTGAACTCATGTCTCGCTCCACGCCCAAGCTCTTCCTTCATGCTGTATTCCTTGAGATTTCTCAAATGGCAAACTGAGCCCTCTCAGAGATGTGATGGTCCTATTCGGTCAGCCTCCTCTCTCATTACTTCCCCTGTACATCCCAAGTGGAAGTCACACTGATCTACTTACAGTTTTTGAAAGAGTCATGCTGACCTTTAGATACATTGTTCCTGTTCCCTGAAAATCCTTTCTTATTTTATCAGCCTTTTTAATATCTAGTTCTATTTGAAGACTCAGTTCAAATGTCTCCTTTTCTAGGAAGACTTTCCTATCTTCTTCTCACCCTTACTCTTAGTTACCCATCCTCTGTGCTGTCATGTACCCCCTGAATACTGTTGTCGTCATTCTGTTGATCAAGCTGCTCATGGTGGATGTCTACTCATCTTCTTTTCCACCACTCTGTGAACATTTCAAGGGCAGATAGTTTGTGTGTGTGTGTGTGTATGTGTAAGAGCTAGCTGAAGTGTTGCTAGTGACTTCTATGACTTTTTTCTTCTTGGCATCAAATATACTCTCCTGTATTGCATGTGTGAAGATATATTTTTTTCCTTAAAGAACTCTAACACATGCAATATTAATAGGGCCATATGCTACCCTTCTCTCAGCAGCATGAATCACAACCAATACCACTGAAAAATGTATGCTTGTTTCAAAGGAATAATTTGACCCCGTTTCTTCTAACAAAAATTTATGTTTTACCAGGCAATTGATTCTTAGTAATATAGTTCCATTTATTTTCTGGATGACTTAGAGGAAAAAAAATTATGCTAAAAGATTTTATAATTTCAAAGTACTTTTAAAAACAGTAAGCATCCTTACATGTATTAATAATTCTGATTATTCTTTCTCTATATATTGACATGTTAACCAGAACCAAGAGAACAGAAATCAATGTTACAGAGATGAATAAGTCAGGAATATAAAAACAAAATTAATACTTTTAAAGTGACTTTAAAAGGTGCAAATAGGTCTTTATACAAGGGAATGGATTAGCAGGGGAAAGGTTCAATAGAAGTCTTAGTTTTTCTTATTGGTATGATAGAAGACCTCATATGCTCCATGCTGAAAATATTACTGCAACTTAAATTTCTTCTTTTCTTCCCTTTAGGCCAAATTTACAGATGACTGCAAGTTCAGGGAACGATTTCAAGAAAACAGCTATAATACCTATGCCTCAGCAATACACAGAACTGAAAAAACAGGGCGGGAGTGGTATGTGGCCCTAAATAAAAGAGGGAAAGCGAAACGAGGCTGCAGCCCACGGGTTAAACCCCAGCATGTCTCTACCCATTTTCTACCGAGATTCAAGCAGTCGGAGCAGCCAGAACTTTCTTTCACAGTTACTGTTCCTGAAAAGAAAAAGCCACCTAACCCCATCAAGCCAAAGGTTCCTCTTTCAGCACCTCGGAAAAGTCCTAACACAGTGAAATACAGACTCAAGTTTCGCTTTGGATAATACTCATCTTGGCCTGTGATAAACTATTCTTTCCCTCAGGAGTTTCTACAGGTGTGTCTTCAGAGTTCTGAAGAAAAAAATTTTGGACACAGCTTCAGTTATACTCACACTGTATTGAAGTCAGGTCATGTGTTTCAGTTTGACTGAAACAAATTTTTTTTTTTTTTTTTTTTTGATAGGAATGGAATTGGAATTCTTTGCACCAGTACTGGGGGCACATTGCTTCAGTTCAGTTACTGTTCCTGAAAAGAAAAAGCCACCTAACCCCATCAAGCCAAAGGTTCCTCTTTCAGCACCTCGGAAAAGTCCTAACACAGTGAAATACAGACTCAAGTTTCGCTTTGGATAATACTCATCTTGGCCTGTGATAAACTATTCTTTCCCTCAGGAGTTTCTACAGGTGTGTCTTCAGAGTTCTGAAGAAAAAAATTTTGGACACAGCTTCAGTTATACTCACACTGTATTGAAGTCAGGTCATGTGTTTCAGTTTGACTGAAACAAATTTTTTTTTTTTTTTTTGATAGGAATGGAATTGGAATTCTTTGCACCAGTACTGGGAGCACATTGCTTCAGTTCAGTTAGACGTAAAGCATTTTGCTTTATGCTTTGGGGATATTTGGGACTCTGTATTTTCAGAAAGTTAAACAGCATGGACTATATACTTTTCTGACTTTTACAGATCAGCCTGAAAGAACATTCATAATACATTTTTATTTTTGGTTTTAAAGAATATTTTGATGCAGATAAAATATTTTATTAATGTTTTTGTTTGTTTTTTTATTTTTAAAAAAGTACCTCTGCATTGAGCATATTTTCTTACTTTTATTATTTTAATTAATATTACGTAAGCCATCATTTTAATGCTGCTTTGCATTATAAAGGTTTATAGCCCATTTGTAATATGTAGATTTCCTTTGTGTTTTCCCCATTCACGGCACTTTTTTATTGTTTTCTATCTAGCCATACCTCAGATAATATAAGTTTAGTTCTACATTTAAAAATATCTAAATTCTCTTCCACAGAACCAAAGGCGTGGCTCAGATTTGTGTGTATGTATGTGTAAATTCATTGTGTTACGGGGAACTCCATCCATCAGTGGCTGGGCTATTAGAATTAGGGAGAAAATATAAGAACCTTTTGGTGGAATTAAAAGTTGGCATTAAGAAAAAGAATTAGAGGTGAAAGAACGCTAAGTTTACAGCATTATTGAGATCTAATTCTGACTTGCCTTTACTTTGTCTTTTATCTCTTCTCTGCCCTCATTCTTGAACAGCTGGAGGGATACTTTTTATTCTGCCCATCAAGCATACACTATGAAATTGGAATACTTAAAAATACTCCTATGACCCTCTGCTAAGCCCACTGTATAGACCCACAGGGAGCATCCTCTTAGAGAAAAAAGATGGAGAACTGTAGGAGATGAATCATTTAACGGTTATCAGTGTCAAGTTCTATTGTCAAAAATATTCTTATTACTCACTCTCTGGACCTTCTATCCTAAAGATAACTATTCCAGTGAATAGATGTTCCCTTTTTTTAAGGAAACCTTTTGATGTATATTTTAAAAAGCTGGCTCTGTGATATGGAAAATTCAATTTAAGGAATTTGTTAAGTTGAGATAGCACCTAATTTTCCAACCAAATACTGAACGATGGACATAAGTCACAGAAAATTTAATTTAAGCCACTTTACAACATTTATTTATTTTCTTGGGTACTCATTTTTTGGGAATTCTATGAGCTATAAATGTTTATCTTATATTCAAAAGCGTGGCAATAAAGAAGTATAGCTAATGGTTAAAGTATGTCTTTCACACAAAGAGCGAAAGAGTAAATGAAAAGTTTGTGGTTTGCATTTAAGTATGTTTAAAGAGAACTTACAAACTTCTTTTTTCCCCTAAAACAAAGTATGGTGCATTTTGGTGCACAAAGTGAAGGTTTATCAAAACTGAGCTCAATACCACATAAGCAGACTGCTTTGTTTTAATGGAAACAAATTACATATTTTATATAAAATATCTTAAAAACCCCATTCCTTAACTAAAGCATTATGTGTATACTCTAGTACACTATTATATTACGAAACCAATAATCCGATGAACCATTTTTGCATTTAATGCATGATTAAAAAATATATATGTAATATAAAATGCTGCAAAAGTTTTAACTAATTTATACTTCAACATACTCCTGGGTTAAATGAAATAATAACATTTTGCAACCATAGACATGCCCAACTCTTACCTAACTGACATATTGCCTTATAGACATGGCAGAAAGCAAAAAAATATTCCTTTATTTTATTCCAATCTATTGTTAAGAATTATGCACTGAAGGGACCAGCAGTTAGCGTAATGGCTATGTTGCTGGACTGCCACGTAGTCGACCGCGGGTCG